AAAAAAAAAAAAAAAAAAAAAACCTGTTAGATACTAGAGATACACAGTAACTGCCATATATTGATTACTTTCTACATGCAAGGCACTTGTACAGAGGTTGAAAAGATGTCTCCATTTAAGCGTCCATTTAAGCAGGGGAGTGGTGGAGTCTTCTGTGAAGGTAGACCAGCACATGGTTTGCATTGCCACAGAGACACTGGGAAAAGCCTCTAAAATCCAGAGGAGTGCATGCGTATGGGCAGTCTGGGGCACGTAGAAGATGTCAACGTGTCCAGAGATAAAGAGGTCAGCATGTGCTAGGGCACTGGGTGTGAGCAGATAGTGGTGGGATCGTGGGTATGTGAGGAGAGGAGACGTTACATGGGGTTAAGCGCCAGGTTAGGAGGAGAGGTTAGGTGTCTTGTTAAAAATGACAGTCAGCTGGGCATGGTGGTGTGCACCTGTAGTCCCAGCTATTCAGGAGGCTGAGGCTGGAGGATTGCTTGAGCCCAGGGATTTGAGGCTGCAGTGAACCATGATCACACCACTGCACTCCAGCCAGAGCAACAGATGAGATCCTATCTCAAAGAAAGTGAGAGTCTGTTCCCATGATCAGTTTGGATTTCTCAGGCTCTTGGAGCTAGAGGCAGGGAGGACAAGGTAGGAAGTGTTGCAGATAAGATGTAATTAGAGAAAAGGCTGGTGCGCCAGTGAGGTTGGAAAGTGGTTGTCTGGTGATTCCTAAGAATAGGATCCAGGGCCTCCTTGGTATCTGCCCATTGCTTTGCAAATCTTCCCTCTTCAAGGCCAGAAAGGATTGCTTGTAAAGTATACTCAGAAGTAGCCCTAGATTCCTGCTTTCCCAAACAGCCTCTGGAAAGACCAAATTTCCTGGAGTGAGAGACTCATATTTCCCTTTGTAGGCAAAAATTGCATCAAGAAGGCGGGCGCGGTGGCTCGCACATGTAATCCCAGCACTTTGGGTGGCTGAGGTGGATGGATCACTTGAGGGAGGCCAGGCGTTTGAGACCAGCCTGGGCAACGTGGCAAAATCCCGTTTCTAGTAAAAATGCAAAAATTAACCGGGTGTGGTGGCAAGCACCTGTAATCTCAGTTACTTGACTGGCTGAGGCATGAGAATAGCTTGAACCTGAGAGGTGGAGGTTGCAGTGAGCTGAGGTCGCACCACTGTACTCCAATCTGGGTGACACAGCGAGATTCCATCTCAAAAAAAATTTTTTTAAATGTTCCTTTCAAATGAATGAATAAATAATAAACCTCCAAAAAAATTGCATCAAGAAAAGAGGCAGCTACCACAACTCATTTCCTGAAAATTTGCTTTGGTGGTTGGCATGTTTTTTGAGCAAAGTGTAACCTATGAGCCTTACCCACATGGAATGGGGTGGGGCAGAGGGGGCATTTAAGCCTGTTAGAGCCAGGGCCAGAAGGAGCCCTCGAGTAATTTGGTGACTTGTGCTCTTCTGTCCTATGTTTAGATAATGCTCTAATGTGTCTGCCCCTGAAAATGTCTCTAATTTTGCATTTTTCTCCTGTGGAGAATGTGGAATGTAGGGGAGCTATGAAGACTAGTGTGTTTCTAAATGCCTCGGACAGAGCTGCCCACCACAGTTCGTGCCCTTTCGTACATGCCTCTTTTAACCTTCGGAACTGGGCCACAGGCTGTTGTCTATAATGGCAAGGTTAGACCCTTTAGGGGAGCACTCAAGGAGCACCACCTGGTGAATGAGGAGGGATAGTCCATGGCCATACCAGGAAGGATGGAGGAAGCATTTGGGGTGCAGGAGGCATAAGGGACATGGAGCTGGAGGCTGGGCGGCCTCTGAAGCATAGCTGAGCTCTGCACATGCCAGCAGGCTAGAAGCAGGAAAACACACAAGTTCAAGCTGGCTTTTCATGTATTGTGTACAAAAACATCAGATGCAGGATGAGTTTGTTGGGATTGCCAGGGGCTGACTGGAGTGTTGCTGGGAAAGAGCCTCAGCTCCGCTCCAGGTCCTCTACCAGGTAGGACTGGGTCTCCCTTAGGGCCTGGAGGAACAAGTCCTTGCAGGTCCAGTTCCAGGCTGGCATGAAGCTGAAGAGCTTCCGCATCTTGCTTGGGTTGGTGGACTCGGCCTGCACTTCCTGGTACTGCTGATCCTTCAGGACCGTCCCGTACAAGGCATCCAGCAGCCCCTCAACGTCTGTGACCCTCGCGATAAGCGCAGCCCGGTGCAGGTCTACAAAGTGCAGGCCTGGGGGTGGGAGGAGAACATGAGCCAGCAGCCAGGGTGTGAGGCCTGTCCCTGCTGAACTTGAGTTCTTCAGGAATTCCTCTGCAAGCCTAGGGGCGGGGGCTTTACGGGGCGGCCCAAGAGGACCCCACATGCAGTGGGATGAGGGTAATATTGTCTCCCTTCCCCGGCAGGGTGTGGGCTGGTGGGTGGGGTGCGCAGGGTTGCCAAGCTGTGCCCTGCCCTGCCCTGGTTGCGGGAGCACAGATGCAGGCAGCCCCCAGTGGGGCTGGGCTGGGTGTGGAGGCCTCACCTGGCTTGGCTGCTGACTGAGGAGGGGCCTGGATCCCAGCTGGTGTAGCTCCAGAGCCTGAAAGGATATGAGCCAAGTGGTCCCCTTCCCTTCCCGCCGTGTGGCGGGGTCCTCTCGTTTGGGAGGCCGAGCGCGGGGAGCCTCCTTTCCAGTAGAGTAGCTTTGTTGAGGGGTAGGAGGAACAGAAAGCGGAAGAGCCCGAGGGGTAAGTGCTGGTGTGGGTGGAGGGGAAGACCGGGTGGAGGGGAACGGGGGCGGCTTACCCTGGTGCGTGGCCGCCTGCAGCTGTCTGGCCGTCTCCTGCAGACCCATGTCGCGCAGCACGTTAGCGGTGAGCTCGGCGCCGTAGGCCTCCAGGTAGAAGCTGACCAGCTTGTCGGTGAGGTCCAAGGCGTCCATGGACAGCAGCGCGCCCCTTGGGATGCGCCCGTAGCCCTCGCGCAGCGGCACCGACAGCAGCTTCAGCTTGAACTTCTTGAGCTCCTCGGCTGTCAGGTTCTCCAGCGCTTCCAGGATGGCATCGCGCGCGCGCCCCATGGCTCCGGGATCCCCGGCCGCTGCCGCCGCTCACCCGGCTGCTGCAGCCGACCAGGAGGAAGTCAGCTCCGGGGCGGAACCTGGACTCCCCGCCTTCCTCCCACTCTGGTCTCCCGACTCCCCGCCCCGGTCCGTTGCCCTCCAGCAAAAGGCACTCCCTGACTACGCCCTTGGTCCCTGCCCACCCAGGCCTCTGGATTGGGGCCCCAGGCCGTCGGGGGACGCCAGGATCGCGCCCTCCAGCTGGCCTGTGAGGTGGGACCTGGGAGGAGACCCGCAGAGGGGCTCATTGGTGGCGCCTGCTTGTCTCTGGGCTTGCACCAGCGGGTACAGACCAGAAACCTGGGCTTGCTCTCACTGGGTTTATTGGAGCACCTAGGCTTAGGATCTCGTATTTCTAGAACCCCCGAAACCTCTGCGGCTCCCCGAACCTTAGGATTCTCTCCCACGTGTCATAGAATCTTGGAATCATGACAGCTAGATGCATGAAGCTCCCTCAATTCCACATGCTGGAGAAAAATGAGGTGTAAAAAAGGGTAGGGAGTGCAAAGCTCTCTTGAGCTTCAGTTTCATTTTCTACCACATGGGGATGATAACCCTCAGGTGCTTATAAATATTCCAGCATAACATGGCCGACCGGATGGCTCCCCAAACCTTGCCAGATGCTTCCTAGGGGAGCCAGAATTTGATCCCAAGAGCTGAATTTCTTGGAAAGTGAGACAACAGCTATTGGTTGAGAACATTCTCAACTGGAGGGAGCATCCTGGGTAGGGAGTCAGCACTCTGGGCCCAGGGGCTTGGGATAGCATTGGAACCTGTGCTGTGCCAAAAATTCTTCCTTTTTTCTCTTTTCTTTTAGAGACAGGGTCTCACTGTGTTGCCCAGGCTGGAATGCAGTGGCGCGACCATTGCTCCCTGCAGCTTTGAACTCCTGGGCTCAAGCGATCCTCCTGCTTCACCTCCCAAAATACTGAGATTATGGGCACCAGGCACCATGGCTCGCCCTCAATTTGTTCCTAACATGGCTGGGGAGGTCCGCTGGTCTGACCTCTGTGAGCCTCCCTGGCCTTGTCTTATGCCACGCCCTGCTTTCCCTCCATCTCCGAGCTGTGGCCATGCTGGTCTCTCAGTTTCTCAAGCGTGCCAGCCTCCTTTTACCTCTCCAAGCCTTTGCACGTGCTGTTCCCTCAGCCTTGAAATCACTTCCCTCTTTGCCTGAGAAACTTTAGGCCTCAAGTTAAATGTCACTTCTTCTGGGAGACCAGGCTTAGAGCTTTTCCCAGGCTAGTTCATAACATGTGCTACGTATCTGTAGCTCTCATGGCAAGTGTAACTAATCCTGTGCACTTGTTTAAAACCACTTCTCCCTGCCAGTCTGTAAATCATGCCTGTCCAGATCATTGTTATGTCCTCAGCATCCAGAACAGGGCTTGACAAATAGTAGGTGCTCAATAAATGGTTCCAGAATGAATAATGAATGAATGGACCTTGTGGCTCAAGGGAGGATACCAGTAACTGCAAGTTATGCCTTATGCACAAGCTCTTCAAAGAGAGGCAGCCTCCAGAAGACTAAAGACCATGAACTTGAAGCCCTACAGTTCTTCGTTTGAATCCTGACTCTATTTCCCAGGGTGGGGTATTTGGAATCCTTTATTTTTCCTTCTCATCTGGGTTGTAACAATCACTGTTCCTTATAGTCATACGACCCTGACATATTATACATTTATTTACTTATTGGACATTAATCCCTCTCTAAAATGTGAGCCCTGTGAGCATCAGAGACCTTAACTGTCTTGTTCTTTGCTGAATCCCTAGCGTCAAGAATGTACCTGGAAATAGCTGGGTGTGGTGGAGGGCGCCTGTAATCCTAGCTAATAGGGAGGCTGGGGCATGAGAATCTCTTGAACCCGGGAGGCAGAGGCTACAGTGAGCCGAGATTGCACCACTGCACTCCAGCCTGGGTGACAGAGCTAGATCCCATTTAAAAAAAAAAAAAATGTGTCTAGAACACAGTAGGTACTGAGTAAAGATTTGCTGAGTGAAGGAATGAATGAGGCTGTGATACTTGCAGCATGTTGTATTCAAAAGCTTCCAGCATGGCTGGGTGCAGTGACTCATCATGCCTGTAATCTCAGTGGTTTGGGAGGCTGAGGCTGGAGAGTCACTTGAGCCCAGGAGGTTGAGGGTGCAGTGAGCTATGATTGTGCCACTTGGCAACAGAGACCTTGTCTCAAAAAGAAACAAGACAAACAAAAAACCAGGATGGGCCGGGCACAGTGACTTATGCCTGTAATCCCAGCATTTTGGGAGGGCGAGGTGGGTGGAGGTCAGGAGTTCGAGACCAGCCTGGCCAACAGGGTGAAACCCCATCTCTACTAAAAATACAAAAATTAGCCGGGCGTGGTGGCAGGTGCCTGTAATCCCAGCTACTGGGGAGGCTGAGGCAAGAGAATCGCCTGAACCCAGGAGGTGGAGGTTGCAGTGAGCCAAGATCACACCATTGCACTCCAGCCCAGGCAACAAGAGCGAAACTCCATCTCAAAACAAACAACAACAAAAAAACAAAAACAAAAAACCAGGATGGGGAGCAGTGCTCTGCTACCCTGCTGAAAGCCTTTTTGTTGTTGTTGTTGTTTCTTTTGAAGACAGGGCCTCACTCTGTTGCCCAGGCTGGAGTACACTGGAGGGATTGTGGCTCACTGCAACCTCGAACTCCTGGGCTCAAGCAATTCTCTCATCTCGGCCTCCCGAGTACCTGGGACTACAGGTGTGCCACCATGCCTGGCTAGTTTTTTAAATTTTTATAGAGAATGGGTCTCCCTATGTTGTTCAGGCTGGTCTCGAACTCCTGGGCTCAGCAATCCCCCTGCCTTGGCCTCCCAACATGCTAGGATTACAGGTGTGAGCCACCATGTTCGACCTTGCTCCCCATCCTTGTACCGTGTAGGCTGGGGTAAGCTGTGTGCCAACATCCTCACCATGGGTGGCACTTGTGGTCCAACAGCCAGTGTCCCTTGGCTCATGGATGTTTATCATGCCTTCTCACTGGCCTTTATTCTTCCAGAATCTCCATCTTCTTTTGTGCACTGTGGCCAGAAGGATACATCTTCCTAACCCACACATATGCTCCTGCTCCTGCCTGGCTCAGAGACCCCCCCATGACTCCCCAGTGCCCTCAGAGTCAAGTCCCAAGACCTTGGCTTGGCCTTCAAGGTCCTCGCTAACCTCTTCAGCTGCCCCTTCCACCCTGTGATCTGTGAACCTCTCCCCCTGTGGGGGCTGCTCTCTGCTTGGCCTCTTTTTCCTTCTGGTCTACTTGGTGAGTTCCCACCTGTCTTCTGACGTTCATCAGGCATCACTTTTTTCTTTTCTGCTTTTCTTTTTCAGAGATGAGATCTCACTCTGTTGCCCAGGCTGGAGTGCAGTGTGCAATCATAGCTCACTGTAGCCTCGAACTCCTGGGTTCAAGCGATCCTCCCACTTCAGCTTCCTGTGTAGCTGGAACTACAGGCGCATGCCACCATGCTCAGCTAATTTTTAAATTTTTTTGTAGAGATGAGGTCTTTCTATGTTGCCCAGGCTGATCTCCAACACCTGGGCTCAGCGATCCTCCTGCCTAGGCCTCCCAAAGCACTGGGATTACAGGTGTGAGCCAACACACCCAACCTAGGAGTCACCTCTTCTAATAAATAATAGAAATAAGCCTTTAGTCTGCAGTCTTTCACATGCCTCCTTCCTTCCCTCCCTTCCTTCTTTCCTTCTTTTTTTTTCCCTTTCTCTCTCCCTCTCTCTTTTTTTTTTGAGACAGAGTCTCGCTCTGTTGCCAGGCTGGAGTGCAGTAGCGTGATCTCGGCTCACTGTAACCTCCACCTCCCAGGTTCAAGCAATTCTCCTGCCTCAGCCTCCCGAGTAGCTGGGACTACAGGCGTGCGCTACCATGCCTAGCTAATTTTTGTATTTTTATTAGAGACGAGGTTTCGCCATGCTGGCCAGGATCGTCTTGATCTCTTGACCTTGTGATCCTCCTGCCTCTGCCTCCCAAAGTGGTGGGATTACAGGCATGAGCCACCGCGCCCAGCCTCTTTTACTCCTTCCTTCCTTCCTTCCTTCCTTCCTTCCT